GAGAGAGAGAGAGAGAGAGAGAGAGAGAGAGAGAGAGAGAGAGAGAGCAGTCTGGAACTGGTTTTGAAGCCACATCTTGTAGGAAATCCTGAACAGAGCATGTTAACGAGGGACGCCGAAACCACGAGCGCGGAGGCTCCCCTCGCTGCACTTTGTGTGTGTGTGTGCACAGTAAGTGTGTGTGTGAGTGTGTTACAAAGTGCAGTACACACACGCTCAGATAGACTACATGTGCCATCTGAGCCACTACTGACTACCACGAAAAAAAGAAGAAGAAAAAAAATGGCATACTGTACACACACATGGCGAGGGCTGGCAACTACGCAATCAGTACATAAATACAGGTAAACACACTCGCGCTGGATTACATGTCGCACAAACAAACATACAGTGCAAGCTTGTTTCACGTCACACGCGCACAAAACCTCTCCGGGGACCAGACAGGATTTCCCTCTCTGTCTACATCTGCAAACTGTATGCAGTTACCCAGGGTTGATTGCAAAACTCACACACAAACACGCACGCACAAACACACACACACACACACACACACACACACACACGCACGCAACAAAGCAGCGAGACCTTCCCATGAGCCTGTGGCCCAGCAATGCTGAGTTAGCCTTTGGTAATATGAAGACTAATAAAGAACAGATCTTACAGAATGGTACGCAACAGTATGCACACTTGTTAATACGCACACACACACACACACACACACACACACACGCGCACAGGGTAAAGAGTGGGAAGAGGGAGGATGAAATGACTAAGAACAAATACTAATCAAGACAAAAAGCAGATCTCACCTCTCTTTCACATCCTGCATGTGGGATGGCCTGCACCCTCGGGTGGAGCGAATGCATTTTTATTTATTTTTTTCTTCCTCCCAGAAATGATTTTGTCACATTCATGAACGTGTGGGAGCGTCTGAATGCAATATGTGTGATGGAGGAACTGTTTGCATTTAGGTATCATTTGTATCTGTGTGGGATGCACACTGCAGATTTCTGGCTCATTGTGATGAGCTCTCAGCTCGCGAGAGTGTTTGGGGTATAGCTGGTGGGCTTTCCAGATATATGGATGATTTGTATTTTTTATATTACTTTGTCCAACCTTTTTTTCATTACTTTCCGCTTCACGATTCAGGGGCTAATCCGCCATAAATTTCTGCTGAAGCAATGATGCTAAGCAGCAGTCACACACTGTAGTGTATGAAATGTAATGTGAATTGTGTTTCACAATATAACATACTTACTGTGTATAATACACAGATTGTGTTGAGAGGATTATTTGGTTAAAACAAGTATAAACATATATGAAGTCGGCAGGCAGTCAATGGCAGTAGAAAACAAGCAATACTAGGTGTTTTGAGGAAATGTGAGTCACCGCAACCACATGAGGTCCTTCACCATGCGGCCATTACTGGGCAACCCAAAATATTATGCGGTTTGCTGTAGCAAGATTAGCAAGATTAGCCGTGGACAGACACAGAGGTGCACTCGCTCACTCACGGGTGCACGCACGCAAGTGACCGATCGCATAATCCTGCTGGCGTGGATAATATGAGCAATGATTGCTATGTTTTTAATGTGAAAGTTATCGCTGGTAGTAACTGCTGGTGGTAGTATTAGCATCTTTCTGCTCAGTGTTTGGTTTGACTGCCCACAGATGTACCACTGGTTCAGTTACACAGAACTCGTCAGCCAAATTTCCAGCCACTGCGTGAGGCTGTTTACGTCAAAACGGCACTGAAGCCACTGTACACTCCCTGCCTGGTAAACAAACGGCACACAGACCAATGTTAATGGCTAGCTAGTGAACGTAGCAGAGCATTTAGCAGCTATAGAGCCAGATATTCAATCTATTATAGAGATAAAAGGAGAGTGTGTTGGACTAAGGCGAAAACGGGCCGCTGTCTGCTAACACATGTCCGTATGGTAAACATGAAGCTAATGTTATAGCCAGGAGGCAGTTGGTTTAGCTTAGCATAAAGACTGAAAACAGGGTGAAACTAATCTGGCTCTGTCCAAAGGTATAACACAATCTATGTACCAGCATCTCCAAAGCTCAATAAAATAAATTTGAATAAGACCTTTTTGAAAGCTGACACTTGCCTGTCACAGCAGATAAAGCTCAGGACTTAAGTGTCCCAGTAAACCCAACACCAGTTCCCTTAAATCTGCAACCTAATTGAGGGCGGCCACAATCGTGTGTCGTTAATTACTCCTGTTCTTTTTACTACGCTGTCATCAAACCCCGGGCTCAATACCAGGAAATCTCCTGTTCGTATTTTTAGACAACTACAAATAATACTCAAATTTGCTTTTGTCCGACATTCAAATCAGGCAGCTGATGGCAACAACGGCCACATACAAATCCATATATCAAATTCACTTAATAACAAGGATGACTCTATCATCAGGTGCTAATGCGCTGATCTGTGACATTGCTCTATTTAGCAGACTACACCTGTTTCCACCTGACCCTGTAACCGCCTTTGAGCCCGGTAAGCCTCGGGGCTTGTTGGGACCTGATCCCGCTCCCTCCTCAGCTGATCCCGGTGCAGGTGTAGCGGTGTAACAAGGACGCTGGGGCTCGGCACTCTCACAAAATGATGTGATCTGATTCCGGAGAAGCCACTATCATGCAGTCCCCCCCCCCCCCCCGGACATTAAGCTCTAATGGCTGCGAAACTGTAAATGTCACAGTGATTTGGGCCGAGCGCCGAGGGGAGAGAGCCCAATGTGTGTGTGTGTAGGTGTGTGTGTTTAGGTGTGTATGTGTGTATATTGTCATGTCAGTGCCACTGCCTGAGCAAAAGGGATCGCAGGGAAAGGGGCACTGAAGTGGAGCGGAGTGATTACAGTAGAGGTCGACCGACAGCGGATTTTAAAGGCCGATATAATACCGATAGTTTGGAGCAGGAAAAAGCCAAATAACTGTTGAGCGGAACATCTGTGTCAAAGTAATAATACCTAACTAAATTAATCTGTAACTGAACATCAAACTAACCACACAATAATCTAGGTGAGAGCAGTTATAGTTATTAAAAAGAGAAAAGTGAATTGTTGGCTTTTTTTGGTCACTAAGAGAACAGCCCCCCATCTCCTGGTCTCAAGGTACGACTGTCATTTCATGGGGACCATAGCTGTTGATCAGATTATTATCGGGAGGTGATCACATGCACGCAGATATTTCCAGAGAGAAAGTGGACCTCGTAATGCGTGTGTGTCCGAACGTAACCGCGGCACTCGGTTCCACCGATAACGACCTCCAACCTCTAAATAACAGTACGACAACACACACACAGATACACACAGGGACTTTCCCATACATTAGCTGCACACAAGCCAATATATGGCAAAAAATACTGTACACTACACACACTTAACCCACAGTTACAGTAGAGCTTTGCATGCGAGGCCTGTGGGCCCATTATTCTTGTCATATGAGCTTTCCGTTCTCACACAACACACACAGGCAGATGTACCGCTCTAAACTCTGAGTAATGACAGCTGAAATGAAAGCTGTCACCGGCACGCTTAATCAGCTGTAGAGAGTTAGCTTTTTATGCTTACGTTGACTGAAAACTCTGTCTTTGTAGGAGCTTTAAAGGGAGGGATTTATCAAGGCACTGGCTGTAGGTGGAGGCAAGCAAACAGATCTATGGGAGCTATATAGCTGAACAAGGCTATGGACAGGACACATATGCACATTGCACAGAGATGTAGAGAGAGACATACACACACAAACACACACACACACACACACACACATATAATCTTGTGCACAGGCGGGCTGAGAGGCCAATGGACCCATCATGACTCTTATATAAGCTTCCCACCCCAAGAGGTATTTATATCCCTCGTTTGTTATCTATAATAAGACAGCTCCCGCTTTTTTTTCTTCTTCTTTTTTTTCCTCGCTCCTCCACCAGACTCCCCGTTCCTGCTGCGGGAAAATCCTGATTAGTGTCCTGATGACTTGACAGAGAGCGATCGAGATCGAGATACAGAGAGCGAGGAGGGGAGGAGGAGGGAGGCGGAGGGGGGGAGACAAAAGTGGCGAGAAAGATGTGCTCCTGTGCGCGTGAATTATTGAAAATGCCGGCAATTCCTTAGCGGGCGGATTTTGACAGTCGACCGACTAGACGCTCTGCATGTTTGCCCCTTGAGAAGATGTGTGTGTGTGTGTGTGTGTGTGTGTGTGTGTGTGTTGGTCACTGAGATAAGGCAAGCGGTCGGATCTGGTGTGTGTCAACGCCACCTGAGTCCCCAGTTAGTAACAGGGTCCAAAAAAGTGCACTTCTGTCAGACATGGCATCCCCTCCTGTGCTGTTCACCAACTTATTAATACGTATGTCTATAGTAGCTATGGTAGCTTGTTGTGAAGAAGAGAAAGAAGGGGCAGCGTTCTAGGAAGCCTCGGAGTGAATATGTCTGGAGAATATTGAAGTATGTGGAGGGATGGAGAGAAAAGGTGAAGCGAGGTGAGTAAGCAGAGAGGTGGAGGAGAAAGCAGAGACTGAGGTATTGGCTATGACGTGAGACAGTTAAAAGATAACTCGATTTAGCCGGCCAGTGAGATTTTGCTGAGTAAGAGTAAGTGTATAGCTCCCCCCCCCCCCCCCTTTCTGTTGCCACTCTGTGCAGCCAAGCTCGAGTCTCCTACAATACCCTAATGAGAAAAAGCTGGTAGGAAAATCCTGGACTGAGTCCTACATAAACTTACAGCCATCTCACGGAACAGCCCGAGAAGAGAGGGGCTGAGGAAGAAGAAGACGAAAAACTCATTATAAAATGAGAAGGAAAATAAAATAAATTTAGAAAGGTCATGTCCTCATTGCTTTCGATACACTTTATATGTGTATAGACTGTATAGTAGGTTGCATATCAAATGGAAACACCTCTGTTGTTTCCAGGACTGAACTTAAGATCGAGGTACTATTTTGTAACCTGTTGGCATCAAGTGAACGCAGGATAGATTTACATTTTCAAAAGTTGGATTTCTTTAAGAAATTTGATTTCTTCAAACGCTTTGTTTTAGGGTGGGTGTATAAATGAATTGTAATATTTCAACCATTTTAGCTGTAACTTGTAGCCTACCAACTTCATTTCACGTTGAAGAGTAAAAAAGTATTTTTCTAAAGTCAACCTGAACAACCAGTCAGGAGCCAATTATCCAACCAATCAACCACCCCACAAACCCAATTCAATACCCAGCCAGTGAACACACAAATTTACCCCCCCAATCGGCAAACCACACCATCAACCAATGGACCAATCAAATATCCAACCAGTCAACCCACAAATCTACCAAGAAACCACCCAATTAAATCACCATTAAACCATCCAATTAGTTAAAGAACTAAATAAACCCCAAGCAACCAAATACCCAACCAGTCAGCCAACCAATCTACCAACCAGTCCAACACCCGATCATTCAGTCAACAGGCACCTATACCAGTCAACCAACTAACCAACCAACCACCCTGCCAACCAGTGGGACAATCACCCAATCACCTTCCCACCCAGGTAACCTACCTATCTCCTAACTAGTCAACCTACCGCCTAACCAAACAGCAAACCATCAAAGCGTCCAACCCATTAACCGAACCAATCATCGAACCAGACCTCCGTTCCGGATAACTAACTGCAGATGACAGTGGAAGGATTTCTTTTCTTTTTTTCATGACAAGCCGTTATCTGAAGTAGCAGTCATTAACCGCTGTGTTTCATGTGCACTAATTGTTCTCCCCGTACAAAGAATTGATTGAAAATCAGGGATAAACTTTGCCGTGCGGAGACAAACACGCACGCGTGACTTTGCGCATTTCAAACCGCGGACAACAAAGACACAGAATATGGGCGGGTGAGACACACACCGCCAAGTGATTTTTACATAAGACTTTGTGAAGTCCCTCCCTCTCTGCTTCACTACCTCCTGACATCTGACTCCTCCGCTGCTCCTATTTTCTCTCTTTTCCTCCAACTCTCCTTCTTTTTCCTCTGTTTGGGAAGCTAGCCATGTGTTTTTTTTTCTTTTTTAACAGGATTCACATTAATTTGTTAACTAGGCCACCGGAGTCACGGGGGGTGGAAGAGCACAACAGAGTCTGACAAGAGAAAGGAAGCAACACCCCAGAATACAAGTGCATAAATGTTGCTGCTGCCTCAGCCACAATCAAGAGAGAGGCACACACACACACACACACACACACACACACACAAAAGAACCGCAGAAAAAGATGCTTTTCATACTTGGAAACGGGCAGAAAAACAAACAGATCAATGTTTAAACTTTGAGCACAAAGCACATTTAGAAACACCATAAACTGACACATGGACACAGCCACACACACACACACACACACACACACACACACAGAGGGAGAGAGACAGTGAGAGTGCTTCCTGCTGCTGTCTGGCAGTCTACACTGGAGTTTAGCGGTTTGCCCCTGAATCACTGTGGTCGGAGTCTCACCGGGTGTGTATCAGGTTAGCCGGTCCTCCCCTGCCAACACACACACACACACACCCACACACAAAGACAGCTGCCAGGCCCGGCCCACAAACTCAAGTCACTTTTGGCACTTAAGTAACCGGGTTACTCTGAGAAACCGGGTTACGCAGGTAATCAGAGAACCCGCGATGGCTTCGCTGGAGAGCAGCCACAAACCCACCACCTTCAGTCCGCAGAGCTCCATTGTGAATAAAACAACAGGCAGTACTCGAATGCAATCTGTTCTGAGTGTTTACATTAGAATGCTAAGGCTTTCCACTGGAGGTAAAAGCCAGACAGGCAGACACCCTTGAGTACTTGCAATTGATTATGTGATTTTTTTTTTGTTGGTTTTTTTAGTCACTGGTTGAAGCAGTGTCTGGAGCACCATAATGTTTTTCTTCCTTCATCTGTCTTTCCATGTTCATCTACAGTAAATACCGAAATATGTCCAGGTCTCAAATACTAGCCCGAATAAACACGGGATGGGTTGGAATTACAAGTACGATGTCTCAAATGGGAGATCTTTTACAGTGGTCATTCCCACAACTCTGAATCCATCACAAATACAAATACTCGTTTTAATTAATTCCACTGCACCGTTCTTCCTGAGGAACATCAACACATGAAGTGTAAATGAAACTCGACACTTGCTGCAGTTGTTTTTTCATGTTATAAATCCTTCCAATTAAAGTGTCTTCCAACTGTTCATTCACCGAACAGGTGAGACGCGACATAACAGGTACGCATGATTGGGCCTGGTTCACCGATGATGAAACAATAAATAAAACACCAGATTCCATTTCCCAGTATTCGTTGCTGTGTTTGGTGTGAATCCGCCATTTTTGCACCATTTTCCTTGCCGAACGATAGATTCTCGACCAAACTATAGCGCAACATTTTGAAACAGAGCTTCAGTTGTGACATGTAAACATGCTAATACGGCATGTACATATGTTTTCAGTACTTGTATCTGTTGCATAATGTTTACAGGTGCAATGAGAGAGAGAGAGAATTGGCTGTGGAAATTGTCCTGTGAGTGAGGTTGGTTTTATTCATGTAGCCATATTGACGTATTAACTTATTAACAGCGCCCTTATCTGTTTCCGTTCCTCTCTCGTGGACACTCAACTTTCTGTTCTGTTTTCTTCAGTGTTGAGGCATAAAAAAAATTCAATACATCCGCAGTGAAAACTGAATGGAGCAGTGAGGCATAGAAACTCTACAGTGTTCCGAACAGACATCGATACACCACAGGGTGCCTTTTGCACCAGTAGGCCCGTATTCAAACCGTTTAATGGTTTTATATTATTGCGTGAGATTTCAATGGGAATGCTAAAACGCGCCGGCGTTTTTTTTTTGTTCAAAATGCTTTTAGCCGGGCCCCAATGATACCCCGCTGCAGTTTTGGTAACATATAATAATGTGTCACTTTGTGTGCAATGACGGAAGGGATTTTCCCAGGAAAAAAAAAAACTACCACAAACACCAGGTGTGCAGAGTAGAAAACTTAAGTGCGTTAATGAGCTGACTATAGGTTGAAACTACAGCGTGGCAATCAGAAAATCAAGCAGCAGGCCGAGCACAAAGAAGGGGTTTCTTTGTGCTCGGCATGTTTGCAGTTTAACAGCTTAAACAAAGCTCCTCATTAAGAACAGACCTCATACCGAGTCTCTACTCACACCTTACTGCAGTCTGAGCTTGGCCTCGCTCCCTTCCACCATCTCTCTCTCTCGCTCTCTCTCCTCCCATCATTTTTTGATTGTCACTCCTGTTATTCATCAATAATTGGCGCTTTCAAGGTGTCTGAATCACACATACTGTACAGCGCGTCAAGAGCGTTTCACCGCCAGCAGACTGATCTATCGGTCGGCGGATCGGCATTTGGATTGAGTCCAACACATTTTTGCGAAAACAAAACGAAAGGAGCCTTCGCTTTCTTCAAACACCCATGGTTGCCAGTGAGCGCGTACACAACAGATGTAAGTCGCGTTTTTAAGCACACGAGGAAGGGGGGCGCACGATATGGACGTAGAAATAACATCGCCGCTGTTAATAAATGCCGCAGCTGATATTTGGGTTGGGATGTGATGAACGCTTACTCATTTCCCTTCCTGCCCGAAAGCCAAGAAGCAAGAAGCAAGAAGCTCGGTGATAAATCTCCACTAACTAGCATTGGGTTCTGAATGTAAAAAAGATTTTTCTAGCACAATAACAAAGCCCCACACACACACACGCGCGCCCACGCCAGCAAGAGTGGGTGCTCTCGATGTTTTTGTCTGTACAGCTGTGCTTTTATTAAGAGTTCTGTGGCTGCCAGTTATGAACGTCTTTTTTTTATTCTACCATTTTGTTTCCATCTTAAAAAGGAATTAGAGAGCAGAGCGAGACACATGTGTGTCTCTGGCAGTGAGCTCACAGAAAGGTGCCATTGGATACGTACTTGCTGTCCCCCATTTCCCCTCTTTACTTAACGCATCGGTTTCCTTCGTTTCCCAGAATGCCTTTTGGTCACCTCGAAGGAATGCACGACGGCAGGAAGTAGGGCTGGGTATTGTTTGAAGAAAGATGATACCATTACCAGTACCCTTAAAGTGATAGTGATACCAACAGAGTACTTCATGTGATACTTTCTGTTCTACTCCACTCGATACCGATCATGTGAATGGAAGCATTCGTAAAATCATCAATGCATTGCATTCTGGTCTATTGAGTGTATAAGCCATACCTCTATAGCTGCTTCTTCAGAGATGTATTTCAACCTGCATGTTGCATGATTAGTGGAAGATGTCAGTTCTAAGAAAAGGCCTTGTTATTTGACTCGAGTGACAGAATATTGATGATGACAATCTACGTTTTAGATATCTGGATCACTTAAAGTGTTTATATTGATCACATGACTGTGATTTAACTCTTTACAGGAGATGGTCAAGGGAAATGAAGATCGGGAGCACAGCCGATGAAAAGCACCAGCGTTAAAATTGAAATTTGTGCCATTGCCTTTCGCAAACTTTCAGCTCCAACGTTTTTTTGTCCAGCTGACTTGCTGACGGCCTCCAATTCCCCTGATTGGTCATCAGCTAGTCCAGAAAGCTTCTCATTGGTCAACAATCACGCTCAGCGTGCACGCAACACCGCCGGCTGACCTCATCCGTCTGGCGAGTAGAAATTGACGTGAGAGACGTACATCTCAGCTAGTTGTCATTCGCCGAATGATTGAATGAGCGCAGCTCTAAATATACACACGGAAACACATCTCTTGCGGCGAGCACTTTACATGCAAAATACATGCCCGCGTCACATCACATGCTCATCGAGTCACATGAATCATGGAGTAAAAAAAAAAAAAAGTACCCCCATTCCATCACACGCCGACACACGCACACACAAAAAGGCCTATAGCATGGTTCAGTAAATTAATACTTCATCATACATAATCCGTCATGTTCATGTCAGCCTCCTGGTGAATTTCAGAGAGCATTCAGTTCATAGGATGAAGCTCTCGAACGGCAAGAAGTTGGAAATGTCTGAAATTCTCTAAGGAACAAGGGGCGGGGGGGGGGGAATATGAAAGTAAAGTTGATGGCTGGTATGGGCCTACTTTTTCACCTCTTAAAAAATGCTCTCTGAAATCCCAAACGGCTCTCCAACTGAGCCTCGGTTTTTTTCCACATTTTTCTCCCCCCTTCTTCTTCTACTGGTTTTGGAGGCCGTCAGAGATGGCAAACACACACACACACACACACACACACACACACACACACACACACACACACACACACAGAAACACACCTCCTCACTCTACAGCCAACATGAGGCTTTTAACTCCAGAGGAGGAAAACAAAAAAAGCCAGGGGTACGGTGGGGAGAAGAAAAGCAGACGAGGAGGAAGAGGAGGAGGAGTGGGGGTGAGGGGAGAACAGGCGACGGGGAGGGCAGGAGACATTTTCTGCTGATTGAGTAAGCATTCGCTTCGGCTTCCGCTATTTGACGGACGCATCGGAGCAACAAATGTGAAAGCCTGCAGGAGAGCGAAACAGAAGCAAAAAATAAGGAATCGGTAGCATGTTTTCCCTAAAATCCCTCCGCTGTTGTCGGGCCCTCCAGTGAGGCTATTTCAACGCGATGACAAAACACCTAGCCCGGCCAGGTGTTCTCCCTCGCTGTTCTGCGCCGTGTAATCCTCTGCTTAAATCGGCACGAGCGAAAGATATAGAGAGCACTGGACACGTTCCCAAAACTCCCCTCCTCCTCCGTCTTGGCATCAACATCCAGCTCCCCCACCAGAGAGGAGACACCTACGGGAGTCCTGTGAAAGTGTGTGTGCTGCTTACACAACCTCGCACATACACACACACACACACACAACGCATAGAAAAGCTCTCACTCTCTATCGTGCGGCGGATTCTGCAGGAATCATTAGCAAAACCAGCAGAGGGGATTTCGCACAGGCAATGTGCTGGGCAAAACATCACTCAGAGCGTTCACCCCAGGGGTCTTCAATTAAACCTTAAATACCTCCGCGAGCATCCAGGGGTCCTAATTACTTCAGACTGCTGAAAATGGCCGCGGGCCGCCCAAGGCCGAGGGCTTACCGAGAATATGCCTGTTTAGAATGGATTCTGGCCCCGAGATCAGTCGGGCGCTCCCATGTTGTTGGTCTGCTTTCTGGTTGGGAGATTAACTCTCCCAACCAGAAAGCAGCGACAGCGGCAGAGAAGGGCCACAGCTCGGGAGAGGACGAGGTCAGAAATATAGCAAGATATACGTCTTGCTCTCTGGACGCGAAGCAATAGCGTGCACACGGATTCAAACACGGGAGCGCACGCATGCACGCACAGGGGCACACAGAGACGGATCGATCTCAGTGACGTTCATGCATTACGGAAGCGGTGACCTTTTCGTAAATCAGTACAGGTAGACATAGCCGTGGGGACACACGTAAACACACACAAACAGAGGGCCTTCGTCGCAAATCAACCAGCAGTCACTTCAATACGTGCAAATCCTCATTCAAAAATTTCAAAGCGGGGTCCGTGAATCTTTGCAGAACGGATCCGTGCAAAAAAAAAACAGAAACCAGTCTGACTTTAGTAGAATCAGACGGCCATCAGAAAACAGAAAAAAGAACTTGATCTCAGATAAGACTCCAATGTTACTCCGGAATTATCCCATTTCAGGGCAAACTATTGCACATTGAATCCAGACTACGCCGCAGCCACAACTAGGGTTTGCAACGTATTCATGAATCTGTGCCAAAGGTCTGTGATGGGTGACGCAATGGACCTCAGGTCAGCATTTATAATGCAGGCTTTGGGACCCACTGTGCATCCCAGCGTGCAAGCACTCAGACATAGCTTAACGGGTCGACACGTTTTACTATGGGAGTTGTGAAAAACGTCACTAAGGACTTTGCAAGGGGTTGTGATATTTGATTGGATCATTTACATCAGATCCTGGGTCAGGTTCTTTTGTAACGCAGCAACTACTGGATGGGAAAAAAATCGAGAAAATATTTTAGAGCTGCGTGGATCGTACAACGGTGCAAAACAATCGCATAAATCCGATAATTATCGTACACTTGGCTACACGTACAACCTGAGAATTAAACACCTGAAAGAGCACAATATCACGTGTTGTTCGTATGGGGACCATGATATGAAAATGTTTGAGAGGCCCTGACTTGGATAATAGTGCCACGATCGCCTTTGCTCCCCGAGGAGCCACGAGGGACTCATGTGCCCCGAATGCTTAAAAAAAAAAAGTATATTTGTAGGACCTTTTAAAGATTTGACATTTACAGACATGGAAATCAGCTGTGGAGACTGAGGCAGAGTAAAGAAAAAGGGAAAGAAGGATGAGAGGAGGGCGAGGGAAGAACAAGATGCGAAAGAGAGGACAACATTCCTCAAGGGAAGAGGAGGAGGAGGAGGAGGACAGGCCTGCTCGGCATCTCAATCAAAAACGGTGACAAATGAGGAGAGAGGAAGGGGAGCGAGAGACGAGGCGGAAGGGGTGGAGGGACGGAGGGAGGGAGTTGAGGTGAGGCGTGGGAGGGCGGCAGTCGGGGGAGGAAGGAGCGGAGGTAATCCGAATGACATGAACACACACACACACACACACAGCAGAGCAGAGCGGTGTCACCCTAAGGAAACACTCCCTCCAATAGCTCTCTCACATCCAGACACCAAAAAAACACACACACGACACATACACACACACACCAAGAGAGCAAGATGGACGTTGAGAGCCCCCCTGCTCTCTCTCTCCTGCTCCCCTCCTTTACAGAGTACAGACAACTGAATGAGCGAAGGTCTGTACACTTATGGAATCAATAACGCACGTCAGTGGCAGGAATGATTCAATAAGGCTCTGAGAACTCAAACCCTTCAGCAGCCATACACACACAAAGACAAGAAAAACATGACGCATTTCTGGTTATGAACAATCGATCAATCGAGGGCGACCAGTAAAGCTGTTAGGTGACTGTGTGAATGCAGCTCCACTGGGACCAATAAACGCACTGGATACACACACACACACACACACACACACACACACACACACCTCAGATCAGATCAGGCCATTTTGCTCATAATAGGTCATGAAGCTCGGATGCACTCGGTAAGAAAGTAGTAATCGATACACACCCTGATGCATGCCAACATCTGTGTGCTCACTCTGTGCCTCCAAGGCCTCTGATAAGTCAATAACCCCTTGAGGTCAGCTGGAGGAGCAGCGCAGCCCAGCAGGTGTTTCTTACCTGCCACAGGTGGGAGGCGTGTGCGCATGAGCAAATTCCTATCTGGAAAAAAAAAGTACAAAAAGGATATGGGTTGCAGACCATCTTGAGACACCAGCTGCGGGGTCGGGTGGTTTGTTTCAGATAGAAGAAGACCACGGGGGCCATGGCCGGGTAGGGCAGGCTCTCGTCGCCGCTCGCCGACGCTTCATCCCCGGCTGTGGAGATCGCGTCGGGCGCCGGGGGCACCGGGGGTGCCGGGGACGCGGGCTCCACCGCCGCAGCCGCCGCTTCGCGGCATCCCGTCCCGACGCCGGACAGGTCGTTGAGCCGGATGAAAGTCCTCGGCAGAGAGGAGCGACCCTCCGAGCCCCTGGCGTCGGGGATCCCGGAGAGATTTCCCCCATCCTCGGCCATCATTCGCCTCCTGCGGGCAATATAGGCGATCATACACATATCAGGGGTAGATGTAGCCGACAACCATGAAAGCGTTAAGTGAATGCAGCAGCAGAAGCGCATGAGATTCAGGGAAATATGTGCATTTAAATCTGATTCTAAATCTGCCAACTTTCGTATAAAGTGAAAAAAATATATATATACACTTCTGCACATATACTCACAGTTAAACATATTAGGAAGAAGCAACAGTGGGGAGAAGTGGTGGTGGAGGAATCATTTCAGGACATTTTTGCGCATCCTTCATCGACAAAAAGACCGCGTAAAATTGTTTAAGAAATAATGAATGTGACACAAAGCTTTTTTTCTTTTCATGGATAGACAACGCCAATATATTTGCTGACATAACCTGGTAATTAAAAAAAAGAGCTCATAATGAGCCCACCCCCAAAATTCAAGAGGCTCGCATTCATTTTCATCCAGAACTAAATCTCTCTCTCTTTTCAGCAACAATAGAAACATATTTCCAATCCGTCTCCAAACTTCAGCGGCATCTATAACCCAGCAACAATACATTCATCATGAAGTGATTTGCAGCAGTTATTATAGATTTTTCTTTTTTCTAAATGGGCGCAGAGAGCATCTCTCCGTTCGATTCATTTACCTGTAATGGACTCGGTAGATGTGCCCAAAGCGCGCTCTGTCATCGCATGATCAGTTTATGCCGCGGCTATAAAGTCCACACCAGCCTGGGGAACAAGAAGAACAAGAAGAAGAAGAACAAGAAGAAGAAGGGAAAAATACCCGGTTGGTTCGAAGGAGGAGACGAGGAGGGAAGAGATGAAGAAGAGAGGAGCAGGAGACGGAGAGGGGGGTGAGGGGGAGAAGAGAGAGGAGAGGGTCTTGTAGGTTTTTTGGTGCGTCTGGCTGAGCGTATAGTTTCCAGGTGGTGCGCTCTGCTGCGCGGGTCCTACTCAACAGGCACGGTGCGCCCGAAGGCCCCGGTCCCCGGTGTCCGAGCCTCTCCGGGGGCCTCACCAACACTTCATAACCATCCCCCGTTAGTTATCTTTTTTGTATTGTTATAAGGACCCGCGTGAGTCCACTTCTGCAGCCTTCAGCCTCAGGTTAAATATATAACGCCGCGCACAAACTTCGTTATGATTCCCTCCTCCTCCACAGAGCTGATAGACCAGCCCCTCCAAAAAAAAGGAGAAATAACGAACTTCAAAAAATTCAAGATTCAAGTACTTTCCGTTGCATCCACAGGCGGTTTTCAGGTTTTGTTTTACAGGGAGATGCTGCCGCACATCCCCTCCCGCCGAGCACAAACGGGCGTCAAAAAGAGGCAACCTTTGAATATTTCCCGAAAAATATCACGAGCACCGGCCCCTCTCTACGGTGGCGCACGTGAAGGGAGCAGCGGGCGCTCCTGCCTCTCGCTCTCGTCTCCTCCGGACTGTATTCGAGCGGCGCCGTCCATCGGCAAGAAAAAAAAGCTCACACAGCTGGATGGTGGGATCCGTAACTTCTCACCAGCCCGCCCCCCCCGACGAGCGCCCGCTCTGCATCCAATCACGGCGCGGCCTGACTCGGAGCCCCCTCCTCACGGGCTGAGCCGGACGCCAATCCGACCGGTGCGGGGGGGGGGGAGGGTGAAACAGCTGGAATCTCATTGTCAACTGTCGGCCAATGAAAAGCGAGGGAGCGACGGCACCTATAGCAGCATTTATGTATGATTGGTGCAGAGCTTTATTATGGGGATCCTTTGGGGGGGAGTTGCCACATGGTGCAATGTGAATCCCACTGACTGTGAACATATAGATATGTAATTAATAACTTGTTGCCCCAGCCGAATATCAAGAACACAGATCCCACATAAACCACAGACAAACTAACAGGTACAGCAAAATAAGAATTCGACAGCCATGAATTGTTCGATGGTGCTAAAATGTCTGGTAGGCAAAATCAGTGTCACAGTGTGTGCAGAGGGGGGCCCCCCCAGACTCGCCTCAGAGACCCCAGGAGGCCCCTCAAGCCCCATCCGGGAGCACTTTTTCCCCAGACTATCCAAATTAACCAAGAAAAAACAGTTACACTTTCAGTCATTAGATATATTCACCACATTTTTTTAATTGGCATTCTTCATGACATGTAATATTAATGAAAGTTTTTTTTTCTTTTTTTTTCTTTCTCGTTTGGCAGATTTGGGACCCCAGGCCCGGCAGGAATCCTCTTGCATGTATGCTGGTCTGGTGGCCACTAGGGGAAGACGTTTCCCCAGGCTTTTATGACACACACACACACACACACACACACACACACACACACACACACACACACACTGCAGTCTCTGCGCATCACTTGCTACACAGCAGCGCCCGCACTTTATTTTCATCGCAGCGTATGATCATTGATCAGAGAGCCGGAGCAAATCAATGAGGGGAACCAATTTCTTTTTCAGAGCGTCTGTCGCCACTGCAGAGCTCATGTGCGAGAGCAGATATTAATCACCTGGGCTGTTTGGGCTCACTGGGCTCACTGTGAAAGCATGAAGACAGAGAATTACACGAGCACATGACCTGGAAAGAAAAGAAAAGAAGAAACTCCTTACAGCTTCTGTCAATACACCTTGTTTGGGCTGATTACTTAATTGTGAACTCTCTTAACAGAGTACCAATGGAAACATATCGGGCCAGCAGGGCTTGTATACCAGGCAGGAATGAGGCACCGTTCAGAATACACGAGGTCCTGGGTGAAGCCCACCAAAGAAAAAACAAATACATTCATTAATAATAAGCAATTTATTTATGCATCTATTATTCATGCCATTGGAATAAAGAGTTGGCGATTCAACACCGAGTGCCCATGAATGCTTCCCAAGGCAAGCGCTTCTGAGTGGCTGATGAACGGTGTTTGCTGGTGCCGTCCGGTTCGAGCTCAGACCCGAATTTATCAGAGTGAGTGATCTCGGCTCTCCCGGGGGGGAGAGCACAGACACAGGGCTCATATATTACAGCTGACTGTGATGACGGACCTTACTGACAGTGACTTGAGTGGACAGGAGGCTCCAATCCATATACCTTTAGCAATATGAGGACCTCTGGTCCACAGAGAAATGTGTGTATCTTAGGGAAGAATGGACTTAGAGAGCCAGCCTGCCATTACATCGGATCATTTACAGTTCCCTGAGGACGATCTCTAATGATTTTTGACCTTTCGTCTTCCCAACAACAGGAAAAAAATGTCTCCTTGAACAATACTTTGGTCCCTGAAAAAGGTAGCTTGGCTGGGCCCCCATGAAATGCCAAATGCTCATGGTCCCCACAGGATGCAACTTAATCGTCATGCTGAATCTCTGACCTTTCCTGTAACACTGTCAAACATGTCCACTTGTACGCCAGAAATAATTAAATTATAATAATATCTAATTAACTAATTCATGGATATCCATTAGATTTGGACATTCATGGTCCCCACAGGATGCATCTTAATCGTTATGGTTAACTTCGGACTTTTCCTTTAGCACAACCATCCACCAAACATGTCCGTATGTACACTAGAAATAATCAAACTAAAATAATATCTAATAATCTATTCCAGGTGGGTATCAATTCGGACATTCATGGTCCTCACAGGATGAACTGTAATAACGTGGTAGTTCCCTGAGATCTGCGCTAGAATCTCTGACCTCCCCTGAGATCAGGCTTACAGGACTGAAGAGCTGTTATGTAACCACACATTGATTGTTATTTGAATTATATGATGCCTGTTAATCCCTGATTATCATGCAGTCGATGTGTGTGTGTTGAGTTGTGTGCGATTGCCCTCCATCCATGTAATTGAACCCTCATTAGTGAGGATCAATGACAATGATCATCAGAGTTGTTTTGTTTAAACTCCCAAAGGTGCCACAAGACGTTTACTGGCTGTAGTTCAGCATGCTTGTCTTTTGTAGTCTCTCTGTAACTACGATCTACTCCGTTCGAGCCAAAACTAGAAGAAGGCAAATCCTATCTGTGTTGCATTTCATGTAGCAGAGCTTCCTTGCCACCGACAATAACAATTGTCGTATTGTGATCTATAATAAATGAGTAGTTTGGGAAAACAAGGCTTTTGACATGCTGTTCTTTTGTCATGAGATATCTGTTAAGTACACTTTCCTACACAGGGGATGATTCCAACAAAACCAAAATGGAAATAAGGACAAAAACATCATTTCATTTCAACCGACCGCATATGTTGAAATGAGACATGCTGGTTTCCTTTTAATCAATAAAATCGGCTGAAGTTGAATATGATCTCCGTGGTCGCCGTGAACTCCAGGAAGTTGTTATTCACATACGCTGTTTAACTTTGTGGTGTTTGTTCCTCTGGACTAGCAGCACGTTCCTTCGGGCAGCGCCAGCAAACCTGCACTCATTTAGAGCTAGCAATTGATATTATTTTTGATTTAGGACATTAGAATGCCCCGGAAACTCTTCGAGATTCCAATTGGAACTATTTTCCGACAACATTATATAAGCAACAATCAAAGCTGAGATTCAGGAGAAAAAAAACATCCTTATTTATTATTTAGTTTAACACTCAAAAACTCAGCTACCAGAACTGCGTGGGTGTGCTTTGATCAGCTTTGCTATGAAATGAGTGACATTGTGTTTTCCCAACTGAGCCCCTCTCACTCTGCACCAGTGAAAAAAACTAAGGACAAAAACAGGAATTGCTAACGTGACCTAAGCCTTAACTTACCCCATTGCTAATGACTAAATTGTTGTTTTTTTGGGCCTTTTCAAGGGTATGTACAGTCTCGAGCTATGCCTATCTAAATACTTGAAAAATGCAATGAAGGGAGTAGGGGCACGGTTCTGGACCGGAGGAGAGCCAACCCGAATTTGCATAAAATCTGGAAAACAAAAAAAACATCTCTGACCGACAGGAATGCATCTATGTGGCTGAGTGCATATGCTGCAGCAAATGGTACAGTGTCACAAGTGTTTAATTACATCCTAATGGTGTCTTAGGGATACGGCCGGACCCTGGTCTCAATAACAGATGTTTGAGACACTCACGTGACTGGAACCGAAGCTGCCGGACGGGACCGGACCGGGTTGGCAACCGGGTGCGAGAGGTGGTTGCCTCTAGTCTCACTTTTCTATTTGTCTGCCGAATGATGAATAGAAGAAAAACGAGCATGTCAGTTTATTTTAGCCCACATGCAATCCAAAACAATACAGTAATACAATGCACTCCGTGTGACTCATGTGGTGTATTCGTGTGTGTGTGTGTGTGTGTGTGTGTGTGGGTGTGTTATGGGAGCCCGAAGAGGGTCAACAACAATATCAGTCATTTATAAACAAAAAATCACTTCTAATTGAAATATGTCAAACAGAAGACTCCAGACTATACAAAGCTGCGCCTCTGAAGCTTTTCCATTCCTGCTTGCCCACCTAAAAAAAATAAAATTCACACGTGATTTCAGTGATACTGATTCACATGTTGGTAACCTTGGTTACAGAGCAGAGCAGGCTCGGAGAGGAACATTTTCAACACTTCATAAATTATATGCCTGTAATGACATGGAGGCAGGAGAGGAGACTGGATGGGGCAAGAGGAAGAATAGGAAGAGATTGACTTGAATGAGGTGGAAAATATAGAGGAAGAGAAGATGAGCAGAGAAACAAGGGAGACCAAAACAGGAAAGAATCTAAAGTACAGGAGCAAAGTGAAAGTACGGGAAAAGAGGAGCGGGAGGAGGGAAAAGGCATGAAAAGAAAAGAAGAGGGTGCAGGAGAGGACGGAGATGCAGGATGGAGAAGCAGAGAGGACCACACC